CAATGCTTGAAAAAGTTCTGATTCAAAAATCAGGGGTGCCCCATCAGTCCAAGCCCCCACCTTCGGAGTTCAAGATCTATAAGAGTTCTGATTCAAAAGAAAGAGGGGCGCCCATTAGGCCCAGTTCAACATCTGTAAAAGTTTCGCATTAAAAATCAGGCGACCCATCAGGCCCCACCCTCGGAGTTCAAGATTTGTAAGAATTCCGATTAAAAAGCAGGGGCGACCCACCAGTCCAAGGCCCCACCCTCGGAGTTAAAGATTTGTAGGGGTTCTGATTTTAACATCAGGGCGCGCCATCAGTCCAAGGCCTTATTCTCAGAGTTCAAGACCTACATAGAAGAGAATTTTGAATAAATCAGAGGCGCCCCATCAGTCCAAGGCCCCACCCTCGGATATCAAGATCCATACGAGTTCTGGTTGAAAACATCAGGGTCGCCCCATCAGTCCAAGGCCCCTCCTTCGGAAATCAAGATCTATAAGAGTTCTGTTAAAAACCCGGGCGCCCATCAGTCCCCCTCAGGGAAAAAAGATTTGTAAAGGTTCTGATTTTAACATAAGGGGCGCGGCATCAGTCCAAGGCCCTATCCGCAGAGTTCAAGATCTATACGAGTTCTGCTTTAACAAATCAGGGTCGCCCCATCAGTCCAAGAGGTCTTATCCTCAGAGCTCAAGATCTATATAAGAACTCTGATTCAAAAAATCAGGGTCGCCCCATCAGTCCACAGCCCCAGCTTCGGAGTACAAGATCTATGCGAGTTCTGTTTTACAAAATCAGGGTCACCCCATCAGTCCAAAGCCTCATCCTCAGAGGTCAAGATCTATCAGAGTTCTCTTGGTAAAACCAGGGGTGCACCATCAGTGCAAGCCCCTATCCTCGTTGATCAAAGATCTATACGAGTTCTGATTTAGATATCAGGGGAGCTCCATCAGTCCAAGGCCCCACCCTCGGAGTTCAAAATTTGTAAGAGTTCTGACTAAAGAGCTGGGGTGCCTCGTCAGTCCAAGGCCTTATCCCCAAAGGTCAAAAACATCCATCAGAGTTTTGTTGCGAAAAATCAGGGGCGCACCATCAGTCCAAAGCCCCACCCTCGGAGTTCAAGATCTATACGAGTTCTGCTTCACAAAATCAAGGTCGCTCCATCAATCTAAAGCCCTATCTTCAGAGGTCAAGACCTTTTGTGATAATCAGGGGCGTGCCATCAGTGCAAGCCCCTTCTCTCGGAGTTTAACATGTTAAAAAAACATGATTTGAAAATCAGGGCCTCTCCGTCAGTCCAAGGCCCCACCCTCGGAGTTCAAGATCTGTTAGAGTGCTGATTAAAGACCAAGGGCGCTCCATCAGTCCAAAGCCTTATCACCCACAGGTCAAGATCTATCAGAGATCTGTTGTGAAAGATCAGGCGCGCCCCATCAGTGCAAGGCTTTATCCTCGGAGTTCAAGATCTATAAGAGTTCTGATTTAAATATGGGGGGCGCAGCATCAGTCTAAGGCCTTATCCTCAGAGTTCAAGATCTATAAGGGTTCTGATTTAAAAATCAGGGGCGCGCCGTCAGTCCAGGATCTTATCCTCAAAGTTCAAGATCTATTTAATAAGAGTTCTGATTCAAGCAATCAGGGTCGCCCCATCAGTCCCAAGCCCCAGCCTCGGAGTTCAAGATCTATACGAGTGCTGTTTTGCAAAATAAGGGTCGCTCCATCAGTCCAAAGCATAATCCCCAGAGTTCCAGATCTTTCAGAGTTCTCTTCGTAAAACCAGGGGTGCACCATCAGTGCAAGGCCCTATCCTCGTTGTTCAACATCTATAAGAATTCTGATCTAGACATCAGGGGCGCTCCATCGGTCCAAGACCCTATCCTCGGAGTTCGAAATCCATACGAGTTCTGCTTGGAAAAAAAAGGGTCGTTCCATCCGTCCGAAACCCCAACCTCGGAGTTCAAGATCTATACGTGGTCTGCTTTAGAAAACCAGCGGCGCAGCATCAGTCATCAGTCCAAGGCCCTATCCTCCGAATTCAACATCTATAAGAGCTCCGATTTGAAAATCAGGGGCGCTCCGTCAATCCAAAGCCCCACCCTCGCTTTTCAAGATCTGCAAGGGTTCTGGGCTCTGGCATCAGATCCATGAGCCTCGAGTAATGTGGCTTCACAATCCGGCGTCATGACCCAATTCGACGTCACCACCTAATGTGGCGTCAGGAATTCGGCGTCACCACCTATAATGCGGCGTCACCAGCTAACGAAGAGTCAGCAATTCGGCGTCACCACCTAATGTGGCGTCAGCAATTCGACGTCACCACCCAATGCGGCTTCACAATTCGTCGTCACCACCCGATGCGGCATCAGGAAACACTTCGGCGTCACGACCCAATTCGGAGCCAGGGGACAATTCGGCATCAGACAATGTGGCGTCGCAATTCGGCGTCACCTAAAGCAATGCGGCTTCAGGAATTCGGATTCGGTGTCAGGTCGTTTGCCACATTCCCCCTGGCGGCCGCCTTCTATGTATATACAAACATATATATATATACACACACACACTAAGAATGACAGTAAATAACAAACAAAGTTCATACCTGTCACATTATATAACGTCGAAAACATATGCAGCATATATTTTCGAACGCATATGATCTGAGTGTTCGTCATACGTATAACCTTCAACATAATAAACACAGTATATACTGCGCAATATTACTACTTAACATCGCATAAATATGAAATATTATAAAGTACAATCGACCACGTATATATTGATATATCATCCTTGCCCTTTTTGGAGCGGACCAGAACCACAGGGCTTAAATGGATAAGGCTACATTCATTGGCCGGCGTAAAGCATCATTTTGTCACGTGCTTGGCGAACTTTGTACTTTTGTGTTTCTTTTGATTCAATGTATTGTATTTGTAATTATCTGTTGTTTATGGTTTTACTTGTTGTTGATTGCTTGCCTTTGTTTTGATTTTGTTGTGCAAGTCTGTTGTTGTGTATTGTGGTGGCGCTTGGTCAGGATCTTCTCTTCAAAACTCCTTCCCGAAGCACGAATCACAACGGCGCCCCTGTGGTGTATAATCATTCTCTGTTTTTGGAAGAACAAAAGGATGTATCAAACCTGGCTCAATCTGGTCATATTTTTTCGGTAGGATTTTTCAATAAGAGAACACGGATTTGGGAAAAAATGCTCAATCCACGTTGGGGTGATTGAGCCAGACATCTGCCCGGGCGTGGGCCGAACACAGTGCTGGGCATGCCCCACCTCATTCCATATAAGCTAGATCCATCTAAACTCTTAACTTTTTGCGAGGGCCGAGAACCCCAGGGCTTAGATGACCGACGCTTTGTGGTCTTAGGCCTAAAACCTCATTTTTTCATGGGGCTTTTTCTGGAAGCTGTATATATTGACTAAGAATGAAAGGCGCGGTTTTTTATCAATATCAGCCCGATACGATCTTCTTAAATCTTATATTGAATCTTATAAGACAATAATACAAATTTGGCTTCCCCCTGGAAAATCTTATTGAACCATATTTGTTCATATCGCTCTTCCGCGGGTAACTGTACGGAGTTGTAATTTTTCGTTGGGAAAGTGCAAGCATTCGATACCCCCCCCGCGCCCTTGGATCGAGGGCTTTCCCCCCTCCTTCCCCCCCAGCCCCCCACCTGAAGAAAGAGGGGGGGAGACCCCCCCCCGCTGCCCCTCCCCCCGTGGATAGATAGATAAAGATTTCGTTTGAGGGGAGCACCTTTTGATAAATCGGCCCCCCATCACCCTTGACGATGTGCTTCTCTGTGTTGAAAGATTTATCCGGATTTGTCTATTCTTGTCTTGTTTTGGTGTTTTCTTGACGCTTATCGTCTTTATCTATCTATATTTTCAATTTGGGTCATAACTACCGAATAAGCCTTAGAAATTAGGGATCAAATCCCTATGGATCTAGATCGTCGCCATATATTAATATAGCAAGATATAATACGTAATCCGACAGTACTCGCCCATACCATACGGTTACTCGTAGATACCCACGCATACTCGCGCATACCTACGCATACTTGTGCATACTCGCACATACCCGCGCGCCGCGCATATACTCGGACATACTCGAGCACACTCGCGCATACTCGCTCATAATCGCGCACACTCGCGCACACCCGTGCATACTCGCGCATACCCGCACACACTCGCGCATACTCGCGCATACCCGCGCATACTCGGGCATACTCGCGCACACTCGCGCATACTCGCGCACACTCGCGCATACTGGCGTATACTCGCGCACACTCGCGCACACCCGCGCATACTCGCGCAAACCCGCGCACACTCGCGCATACTCGCGCATACCCGGCGCCTCCCAAGCCCTACGTCTGCAGTCGCGCTTTCCCGCCACAGTGAAAATCTTAGGAATCTTTGGCCGACATATATAATCTTATATATATATATATATATATATATATATATTTATATTAAATTAATTATTAAATCGAATTCCTCGATTGAGATCGAATAATATTAGTCTAAATATTTTCCTGCACAAAGCTGTAGATCAAGCAAGAAGAGGCTTTCTGATATGTCGACATCCAACGAAATGCTTGATATCCAAATCCAATCTGAGTGAACAGTGAATTTTGGCAGTCGCACTGTGCTTGCATAGTCACATTGTATTGAGCAAGCGAATTGCCGCATTTTCCGAGCTGGTTGCATGCATCACAGCTTCTTGCTAGACTCCCAACGCCCTGGCAATCGTGAGTTACACCCTTAACGTCCCTAGGAGAAAGGCTTCGAGGTCAGTGAGTAGCACGTCTGGGATTGGCGCTGATTTGTCAGGCCAGCGTTGTATTCTTGCTGCTGACTTATCGACGAACTAGCCAAACACTCGCCCCCATCCAGGTGCGAAGACTTTCGCAACACCCACTCGCACTTGTCAAAGTCAAGCTGGCAGAAAGTAAGTTGGGTGCCTCAGGATGTTGCTTGGAGCTTGTTGCCCACCTCCACGAACAGAAGTCAGGTGCTGTGGAGGTCAGCCCGCTTTTGCTTGGAAGGCAAGGCATCACTCTCATCAAGCTTCCTTCGTCGTTTGCTTGGTGTCCAACCTTGCCCAGCGCTGTGGCTTTTAAGTCGGTCGGTATTCCTATCTGCTCGAGAGGAACGCAAGCACTTGGCTCGTTCACGCATCTCCTTGGAAGTGCGAAACGACTCGGCAGCTGCCTCCTTGGCGTTTTGTTCTGTTGTTCCCTGGCCCACTCCGATGACCCGGTCCTTCAGATCATCAAGCTGGATCCGAAGCTCGGCGTTGAAGGCATCGGGCCCATGCTGTCCAATGGAATACTGCACCTCACCTTGTAGCGGGCCCCGTTTCAGACGCTGCGCAAAGTCGAAGACAGTATCCGTTGCTTTCTTCGCCCAATAAGTCGGAAATACCCTCTCCAGTTCATCTCCCAAGATTGGTCTTTCTGTCGTCGGAGACTTCCGACGATGCACAAACCGCTGTGCTCTCTTGGCTGAATATTGCAGGGACCTTTCGACGTCAGTGGACCGTTGCGAGCTTGAGGGCTGCGAACTTGAAGTGGCCTTGTAAGAACTGGACTCCTGGCTTAAATGCTGATTGCCGTGTCCATCAGTGGCCATGGGCGTGGCGGCTTTGGAGCGAGGAGTACCCGTCACGCCCTCTTACAGTACAGTCTACGATCAAAACCAAGAACACCAAGCCCTACAATTCCACAACATCCCAAACCCCATAAGCCCTATAATGCGTGCAAAGCCCGGCCGGGGGTTCAGGTTTCGAGTTCTTTCATGTCCTGTGAAGACCCAGTTAACCCCACCCCTAAACCTACACTGTGCCCTTAAGCCTGAAGGAGATGCCTTGGGTCTGAAGGTTTTAGGGCGGAGTCTTCGAGGCGAAGGACAAAGCCCGGAAAATTCACGATGCCACAACCCCAGAAGCTTAGAAGCCTTGGAGTTTCGACCCTCCCTTGAACGTTTACAAATGATACTTCGGGCGGGTTTGCTAGATGTTAGGAATTCTACCGGTATTCAGTCTTTGGGGTTCAAAGTGGGTTTGCAGCCCCTAAACCATCCCAAACCCGAAACGATGGCTCAGGGCTTGCTGGGTAGCGTTGGGCGGATTTGATTTTGGGTTTCAGGCAAGTTTAAGGCTTTAGGGTTTAGGGTTTTTGGTTTAGGCTTCAAGGCTTCAGTCCAGAGTGAGCGGAGTGGGGGTTGCAAGGGCTTTGGCCTATTGCGTGTCAGCGATTCGTCCCTAAACCGGGTTGCAAGTTTCGGCCACGCCCTAACCGGAAATGAAAGAGCACTGGGCTAGAGGTTAACTTGAAATTTTGATCGTCATAACAATAATGAGTGAAGGGCCTAGTTGGTTCGTGGGTCATCAGCCCTGTACCCTAAATCTTTACACTGTCACTGGGCCCGAAACCCTAAATCCTAAATCTCAACACTGGGCCACCAGGCCCTGCACCCTAAACCGCAATGGCCCAAACCTGTAGGCTTTAGGGCTTAGGGTTCAGTAGGCATTAGACCCGAAACCGCAAACCCTCAACCTGGCAAGTCGAGATGCGCGGCGCTGCCTTCCATACTCACCACTGTTTGTTTCGAGCGATTCTGGAAAACCGTAACCGTGAGCTACTTCAGTTTAGATGGGCCGCTGTATTACAAGCCGCTTGCTTGCTAGATTATGTTATATTGTGGTACTTCATTACATTTTACTGCCGCATAAAGAATTTTTATGATAGTTTAAGACATATTGAGTATTATATACTCCCCTGAGCCTTGCAGTGGGCCTCAAAACCTCAACCTTAAACCCTAAACTAAAACCATGAGGCAGGTTGTTGTGTCTGAGGCTTGGGATGGTTTGGGCGCCATCTTCCATTTTGCTTTAACCCTGTCAAGTGCAGCTGGCGCTACCTGCTCAATCACACCTGCAGCCACCCTAGCAAACACAAGGATATCTAACAGGCAATGAGAGGAGACATTGCTGTTTTGTCTCGCGTGCGTTGATACTCGGATCCGAGTACGTCTCTACTGGAGCAGGCCGTGATCAGCTTCGGGCTCCACGCTCGCAGCCTGCCAAAGCACCAAGATCCACCTCTGTCCGAAGCAGAGCGGGTCGAATCGTCCTGTCCTGGAGGGCCAAGGCGCGCTTCTTAGCCTCCAAAGCCTCCAGCAGGGCCTGCAAAGAGACACTCGCAGATCATGCCGCCTTCGGTTAGGTAGCCATAGCCTGCTTCTCTCTGCTTTCTTTTTCCTGGCATGGCACTCTCGGTGTGACCAGCAGACGGCGTCATCTGGCTGCAGAGCCTTCTCGTCCTGGCAGAACTGCATGTAGGAAGACCACCTCAGATATCGGAAGTCGCATCGCCTTACCGTGCTGTTGTCCGCCCTACACACAACATCCTGTGACATCTTGCTGCGACGGAGAGGCATCTCTGCGTTGACACCGCTTAAGGCTTGGTTAGCCTGGGCCTTTGCAGGAGAGTTGAACCCTTTGGCTCACGGCTTTGCCAAGTTGTAAAGGTCTGGCACAGTATCTTGAGTTCGACTCATGTTCAAATTACAATATCGATCGAGGGGGGTAGGATTCGCAATCGAAGAACCTGAACTCGCCCGTGAACTGGCCACTATCAAACGCCTCTCCCTTCAAGCAGGCAAAGGCATTGTCACAGCGGGGCTGAGGCGGCTGACTTTTTGGTGTCCTTCGACTTCTGGAGCTCTGACGCGCCAAACACCTGAAGACCCGACAAAGAAGCACGCGTCGGTGGCGGCACTGGTGTGGGGTCTGAGGATCCAGGCCAGGCTCGAAGGCGGCTCCTGCTGAAGGACCTGTGCAGAGGGAGCCCGACAAGTTCTTTGGATACTATCCACTGGCAGTGCAAGCCGAAACAGCAGAATTAGCAGAGCTCAAAGAGATACCTTCTCGAAACCACGACCAAATCTTGGAACGCGAAATCCGAAGCCGGGGCCATGTGTCTGCACAAGCCATCTGTTCTTGACTCGACCGGATGCATTTGCCACGCGTGTCTGCTGTCTACCTATGAGCGCGTATGTTTGGTTGAACCCGAAGCCTCAAACCAATGAGTTCAGAGAGCACACACGATTCTTCTCTTACAAAACTCGTCATCGCTGTGGTCTTCAAGTAATATACGTACACACATACATATGTGCATACACTTTACACGGTTACACATACATACAAACATACGTACATGCATACATACATACATGCACACACACAAAACAAACAAATGATGAAATTGCACGTACATACACATTACAGTACATAACTTTACATCACATTACCTTGCATTGCATTACATTAAATTCATTTCATTACATCGCATTTCATTTCCGTTACCATTACAATGTATTACATTACATTCTTACCTGCGCATGTCTAGTTACATATATATATATATATACACACACGCATTTTTTTATACGACGGCAAAAGCCGCCGAGAGTCTTCGCTGTCCAGAGCCAATGCGCAAATCAGCCCCGAACAACGCCTGAACCCGCGCCCCGAGCCGTGCGCCTACAAACATAAAATCGAAACAAAAATGGATCCTAAGACTTAAACGATCGTGGACTTCGTAGAACCTCCTCATTCACAGCTTTCATCCCTCCAAAGCTGCTAGGAAGGGGTACATGCCCGCATGCGTGCATGCAAGCAGCAAGCATTCAGACGCATTCGCATACACGTGCACATGTACACAGGGCCAATTCACAAACACATACACTTACACGTGCAGTTTCATGTGTGACAACATTTGCTGTTCCGAAATCGCGACAACAATCTGGCCACCCCCCTGTCAGGGCACAAAGCAAGGATTTCACCTAAGGCTTAACCTTGGCTCCTTGGATTCGGCTTTAGAGCCGCTAGCCGCTAGCTGCTAGCTAACTCAACATGTAAGCCTTGTCTTACGTAGCAGTCTCAAGACCTGAAGGCTGACATTGGACTGGTGTATTGGGGTTTAGGATTTAGCGTTTAAAGGGCAACCTCACGAATTGAAACCCCGCACCCTGCGCCCCAACATCAGCCAGGGTCGTAGAGTTTGGAGTATCATATCCGTACTAAGTCCCGTGAGCCTCCAAATAGAACCGTGAACACTCCAAACCTTAAAGCCCTGAAGCAGGCTCTGAACCACGAAATAAACGCCTGAATAAGGAGTCTAATGTGGATGAGGGCTGTGTGCTGCAATTGTGTTAGGAAGCCGTAATGAGGAATACGATAACTGTAGTTACTGAGGCCCCTGCATTCTGCTCAGACAAAGTGGCCGGCAGCGAGCCGCTGGAGCCACCCGAGGATGCAGGCAAGGCCGCGGGCGAGGCTTGCGCCTGGAAATGCAGTCTTTGCAAACTAAGACCACAAATTTATGCTCTGAAGCTGCCAGGAAAAAAGCAAAAAGCTGCGACCTCCAGATGATGACAACAACAATGCTAGCCGACTAGTGGCCAATCTTCGTGACGCGGATTCATGTCCACAACTTGGCCCCTGGTCACCCCCTCTAAGACAAACTAACAATTCAGAATAGCACTAGATTGTTTAGATTTCAGCTTGAGGTTTGGGCCTGGGAGCCCCATTCAGGGTGATGCTGCTACGGCAACATGACGGGACCTCCGCCAGCGTCGAGAAAGTCAAAAAATGCCTCTATTAAAGAGTTCTCATGGTTTCTCAAGGTTTCGCGTCCGGCAGTTTGACCATACAAATCTTCGCCCGAAGCGCGTATTGCTTCTATATGGAAAGCTCCCAACAACTGTAGTACAGTGGCCTTGGTTACGTTGGACCGGGGCCTGCGGTTATGCTAGTTCAGAATACGGGAACCATGTGGCCATGTGGAGATACTTTTGGGAGGTTGCAGACCGCACGAGTACTACCAGGCCATTCTTGCAACATCGGCACCGGTGGTGATCGCTTTGGCAGTGGCGGCAAAGCCAGCGGTGCCTTTTGTGGAGGGGGATGGGGCCCCTCGAAATACCAAGAATTCGAAGAACCGCTCTGGGCATAATTCGGCTGCGGGGCTTGACGTCAAGCTTTGGCAGGTAGCTATCACCGGCGCTATGAGCTGCTGTTACTATGACGGGATACGGTCGGCCATACGGTTGCTTCATAAGCACCAAAAGACAAAGCCATTGAAAGCCATAAAATCTTAAGACCAGTCTCGAGATCGATGTCCTCTTCACTAAGGCCATATATCATCTGCAAGGTGGACGAAATTGAAAGCTGATGTGAATATGGTTCGTTGCGGCTGGGCGGTCCATGCGCCCCTGGGCTTGACCTCTAAACCCCTCAAACCCCAAGCCTGACCCCTTTTCAAGAAGGGTATTCCTCCTACCTGGATGAAATGAGAGTGCGAGTCTTAAATCCCAAAGAAGGTGAACCGTGGCCTTCTTGTCCCTCTTGGATGCATCCAGTTCCACCCATTCGCCAGCCTGCTCATCCGTTGGATAGCGATGGGTCTAGGGCTTCCAGACTTAGGGTTTCATGGCCTAGGTCCGCCGTTGACTCGGCAGACCGAGGCTTGGGGTTTGTCAGTGGAAATCAGGGGAGCTTCGGTGCAATGGCGGATGATGCGATGTCTCTTACAAGCACACCACTGAGCAATTCTGCACAATACACTGCCGAAGACGAAGACGACATCATGTCTCTCTCGTGTCCAGAACACAGCAACAAACCCAAACCCACCCCTCCAATCAGAACACTCCAACCATCCTCGCCTTGCGGAGGTCCCGCAGCGTCCGCGTCGGGACCTGCGGGCCGTAGACCGTTGCAATACAACTCCGCGGCTTTCCACACGCGTCTGCTTACAAGAACGAAGCGGGGACCTTCGCTTGAAGCTCCAACTCACGAAGACTCATGAAGCATGGCATTGCACATGCGGCCGAGATGTCGAGAAGACCCTGACAACAACCCCAAGTCTGAAAACAAGGTTGCAAAACACATCGAGTGGTTCTCATGCGATGCTTGCGATAACCGTGGTCACCGCACAAAAACCGCTTACTCCTTCGGCATTACCGTCCGCAGTCGTACTTCGAAGCCGAAGTCCAAATCACCATGAAACGCGACAAAAAAAAGGCGCCTCCTGCGAAACAAAAACACGTGCTAAACCTCCACGCCTAGTAAACCTCGTACAAGCTGTTCACGGTTTAAAGGCTCAAAGGCCATCTCTGCTGCTCACTTAGCATAACGCCCCTTAACCAAGGAACGCTTGAAAAAACATAAGATGCAATTAAAAGACAGGATAACCCCACATGTGAAGATTATCTTCGTTATGAAACCAGAAAAAAGACAGAGAAAGAATGAGGAAATAATGAAGAAATAATTGTGTGAATGTAGGCGCACGTCTGCATATGGGTGCAAGCGAGTGCGTGATTGCGGCCTCCGACCGAGCAGTCCAGAGAGGGCCCGCAGTGGCGTTTACAGTCTTCAGGGCCGCGCCCCGAAAACGCGCGAGCAGGGAGCTTGCGAGCAGGTCTGCAGACACACAAACAAAATAACGAACAAGCAGGCAGCCAAACAAACGCACATACATTGATTCGCGCAGACAGACAGGCCGACATACGTACATGCACGCAAACATGCGTACAGACATATTTATCATATTTTACAGTTCGGGGACAAGCCCGCAAGCCTCCTTCGGGAGCGGTGCACCGGCGGCCTGGCACCACAGACAGAATTTAACGGCCATGATTGGCATAGGTGTCCGAAATTTCTTTCTCTCACTCTCTGTCGCTCTGCCCGGAAGTGTCCTCAGCGCCGGCCTTCGGCGGAGGCGTGGCTACTCCTTTTGCCGGTGCCTGGCACCACAGACAGAATTTAACGGCCATGATTGGCATACGCGTCCGAATTGTGTATTCTCCCTCTCTGACTCTCTCTCTCTCTCTCTCTCTCGCTCTGCCCGGAAGTGTCCTCAGCGCCGGCCTTCGGCGGAGGCGTGGCTACTCCTTTTGCCGGTGCCTGGCACCACAGACAGAATTTAACGGCCATGATTGGCATACGCGTCCGAATTGTGTATTCTCCCTCTCTGACTCTCTCTCTCTCTCTCTCTCTCGCTCTGCCCGGAAGTGTCCTCAGCGCCGGCCTTCGGCGGAGGCGTGGCTACTCCTTTTGCCGGTGCCTGGCACCACAGACAGAATTTAACGGCCATGATTGGCATACGCGTCCGAATTGTGTATTCTCCCTCTCTGACTCTCTCTCTCTCTCTCTCGCTCGCTCGCTCGCATCCGGGGCAAGGTCCGAAGACCCGGGCCGAGGCCCCCCCCTCCCTGTTTTGTTTGTGGGAGAGGGCTTTGGGGTCGAGCGCTCGGGGTTGTTCCCCCCCGGTCGGTTTGGGTCTCTCTCTCTCTCTCTCTCTCTCTCACTCTCTCTCGCTCTGACCGGAAGTGTTCTCAGCGCCGGCCTTCGGCGGAGGCGTGGGTACTCCTTTTGCCGGGGCCTGGCACCACAAACAGAAGCAAAGCTCGGGGTGCAGGGCTTGGGGTTTGGGAGTTTATGCATCAGGTTTTGGGGTTTAAGGGTTGTGGGGCTTCAGGGTTTGGAGGGTTCAGGGCATTCAGTTTCAATTACGTATTTCCTGTGCAGCAACAGCCTCCGAGCATACATTTCACGGCATAGGGATTACTGGTAGGTGCAGTCCTCAGACAAGTGTTGATGATCGAATAGCTGCGACATGCTACATTTCCAGCACCTAATAAATGGATGTCTCTATAGGCCTTCAAAATTGGAATCGGAGCTTTAGGGTGGATTACCGTAAAAACCCTTCATAGAACCTTTACGGTGACCCTTAGAGAACTCAAATAGAAGCCCTTAAAACCCTTACTGAGATCTTGCCTTGGGGTGTCGTCTTCAAATCGAAGGATTTAGGTCACAAAAACGGTTCAAAGATCGAGAGGATTTCGACTCGCACACTCGCTCAACGCAGGCACGGCTTCATGAGGTCTCGATCGAGAGGATTTAGGGTTTAGGGGTTCAGGGCTCAGGGGATTTGTGGATGTAGGGCTTTAGGGTGTTTGGGTGAGGGGTTGAGGGCTCGAGGCTGCCCAAGCTGGCCTTCGCCTTCGGAGTCTGCACGAGGTCCTTCGGCAGCTGCCAAGCAGCTCAACAATTGCAATGCTTAACTGCCAAGTACACGCACGGCTCCGCATTGCTCAGCGCTCGCAAAAGCGGGATGCTTGACACTCGGACATGTGCATCTGCAATGTTCACTGCTCCTGGCCACTGTGGCCAGCACCTTTGGATACAGGCCCACCGCGCAACATTGAAAGAAGCCTGGGCGACAGTCTGACTTGCACCTGAAAAGTGAACGAGACTAATTAAATAAAGTCTTACGGGACATGACGCGTTGCCTTTCTCACTTGCTCTTGGCCGAGCGTCTCTTCCCCGCGTTGGCGGCCGACTACTGGATCAAGGTCCTTGCTTGCCGGCTTATTTTGACGTGGGACATTCCAAAATTGGTGGAAAGAAACAGGTCTTCAGCAGCCTTGGGAGTAAGGCTGAGGAACATGCAAGCGGCTGTCGTCAGACACTCCGATGAAACAAGCTCATGGACGTGGCTCACTGAACAACCAATCAACGGTTTCTTTGTTGCTGTCCCGGGCTCCACCAAGCCTCTGCCAGCATCTGCGTCCTGGACGAGCATGGCTTGACGAAGCTCGGGTTGACGCAGGATGACCGTTGCATGTTCTCACTTGGGCTCGAGCGCTTGCGCCGAAGCGCTCCCCTGGACCGCATGACCAACAAAAAGGTTGCCGCTAGGCGAAAAACCAGAGACAAGAGGACAAAGTCGGGCCTGGAGAAATCTCGCCAGCCAGGCTGGGACGAACGTGGCCTGGGAGATGCTCGTGCAGGCCAAAGGCTTCGGGCACGGGAGACACAGGCAAGCCTGCGGGCCAGGTTTCGAATTCAGGCGAGGCATATGGTTTGAGGTCTGAGGAGTGAAACGTTCACGACAGGGATGCTCAGCAAGCAACATTGAGGATAAGGGCATGAATTTGTACATCAGAGCATTCCCCTCCCAAAATCCAACACATCTAAATGGCATGCTGGCATTACGCCTACTGAAAGTTGGATTCTGGGGACTAAATTCGGCAGATCACAGTCAGCGGGGATTCGGGAGATAGTTCAAAGTTTAAGGTTTATAAGGCCTAGGGTTTACGGCTTAGGTTTTAAAGTTTAAGGGTCTGTAATGTTTAAAGTTTTTAGGGTCTCGGGTGTTGGCTCTGGGGTATTGGGATTTTTCGGGACTGTAGAAGGCCTGGGGCTTTCAGGTTTCGGCTCGAGCGCTTGCCCCGAAGCGCTCCCCTGGGCAATAAGCTAAGCTGAGGACAACTGCTGCCAGCACTGCTCTTCTGCATGGCCTCAGGCCGATGGCTCACAGAGAGGCCGCCGTGGATTTCGAGACGAACGTGAGAGGACCCCAAACGGACCGAGATTGAACACGCAGGGGACTCTGCAGCGTTCGACGGGTATGCTACAGTCAAGCCAAGCTTCGGTGTATTCAGTGGTATCTGCATCGTCGCCCGCCTCTTTGTAGGCCTGCATTGGTCATCAGGTGGCGATGCAAATCGAGGCATGCAAATCGAGGCATGTAAAAGCTTAAACCTTCTAAAGCCCCAAACCTCTAAAACTCTAATCCCCTAAACCCTAAACACCCCAAAGCCCCTAGCCCTACACATTCCCCGCCCCTTGGCCCCGCCCGCCTTCGGCAAGCTCTGGAAGCAGACTTTGTCCCCATCGTCGCAGGTCCCGAAGCAGTCGCCCAAGACATCGGCCTTTCCTGATGCTTATGGTGTCTAAGGCGTTGAAGTTTAGGGCTTTTGGGTTTTAGGGCTTTCGGTTTCAGTTTCGGGGTTGTTTAGGAGGTGCTTTAGGACTTTAGGATGCAGGGCTTTCCAGGAGGGTTCAACCAAGAACAGTGGCTTCCACGACTCATGGCTATTGAAACAAACTCGCGCTTGTCGCCCTTTGGAGCGTGGAGGGACCTGAAATCGTGGTTCACGACTTTAGAGTTTTGTCTGGGTGAAGGGCTCGTGGCACCTGCAATTCCAAAACCCGGCCATTCTGGTGGAAAGACGCACCCAAACGAAAAGCATGGCAACCACACTGTCTAGTATATGGGATATTCACAGTCTGTGTAAACCGCGAAACCCCAAACCCTAAAGCGCACTGGTCCCTAAGAACCCCAAGGACACTTCAACGCCAAGTTACCTGAAGGCCAAGAGGAGCCCTTCCTTGGCTATGAGCTCGGATGCACAAGAGGGAATAAAGGCTCAGGGGGCAGACACTCCAAAATCCCCCAACGAAGGCATGCTACCATCGATCTTTGTGTCTACCTGCCCCTAAACCCACTCGAAACCCGAAAAAACCCAAACCTGCCCACAAACAATACTTCTTCACTGAACGGTTTAGGGTTAATGCACCAGTCCTCCGACTCCTTCGGAGGCTATGGGTTTAGGGTTCAGGGTTTGGCTTAGGGATGCTCACGGTTAAGGTGGCCCGAGTCTCGTAAACCACCGAAACTTGTTGCAGGTCTTCCCTTGGACGTACTGATCGACGGGAACATCCTGATGGGTTGCATCAGTTCAATAACAGCAACTGAGCGTTGGAAGGTTACATCAAACGCAGCACACGATACGAGTACCCATGATTGCGACAGGACGAGTCAAACATGCATGCCTTCTCGTGCGTGAGCACCCCAGCTGGGATCTTGACCTTGGAGTTGCCACCGTCTGGTCCTTTCCAGTGCATCTTCAAGACCTCGCCGCCACCCTTCTCGCACATGTGCACCACGATCTCGTGGGCACCTGGCTTCAGGAACTTGTCGCCACTGCCCTTCTCCTGTTCTCTGCGGCAGCCGTTGTTGTCTACGACCTTCTCCCCGTTCACGTACATGAGGAATCCTCACAAAATAGTGCATGCTGCAGCCACGGTGGCACACACGGACACTAGGCCTCACGACGAATTCAGCTTCCCTACACTCTTGTCTGCATCTGGAGCACCATCGTCTGAGGCGAGGAAAAACTTGTCCTTGCCCTCTTTCTTCGTCACGAGACGACCAGTGCGCCTGCCAGAGCATTAACGAACTCCGAAAGTTTGTAACTTCTTGCATGCCCCGGCGCCCCGACCCAGGATCCGCCTCGTGCAGAACTGATCCCCCTGACGTGCGTCCGGGAACTTCCCATTGGTCTGAGCACAACAGCCAGTGTGCCGTCTTTAAGCGCCAACTGGACAAGCACTGCCTCAACAAGGGAAAAGCCCCCATCCCACAACACAGAGGTCCCAGAACTGAACCCGGATCGTTTTTTGCAATCCCGGTCCATGAAGATTTCGTGCACGATGACACGACGGGCTGGGATCCTTTCCATGAACATCTCCGTGATTGAAACCAACTGAAAGGATCATGCAGGGGCTACGCAGCCAGGGGTGTATCTACCAATTGCACGCGCTATGCACGCATTCTGCTGCCAAGCGTCAGGGCACCTAGGTCCGGTGCTTCGCACAGCGATTGATCGTAGAAGTAGTCGAGCTCGAAGCAGTCCACGAGGTTCAGCTTCGGCTGGCCCAGGGACAAGGCAACAGAGATAACAAAACTGGCCTACTGAACTTCCGGCTACTGCAGCGGAGCGATCGCAAAACAGAACACTGCAAGTTTGCCTTATGACATAGCTGAAGGCATGCCCTGCAAAACTGCCTTCTTGTGCTTGAGCACCCCAGCTGGGATCTTCACCGTGGAGTTGCCACCGTCTGGTCCTTTCCAGTGCATCTTCAAGACCTCGCCGCCACCCTTCTCGCACATGTGCTCCACGATCTCATATGCACCTGGCTTCAGGAAGTTGTCGCCACTGCCCTTCTCCTGCTCTCCGCGGCAGCCGTTTGTGTCCACGACCTTCTCCCCGTTCAGGTACATGAGGAATCCTCACAAAATAGTGCAGGCTGCAGCGACGGTGGCACACACGGACACTAGGCCTCACGACGAATTCAGCTTCCCTACACTCTTGTCTGCATCTGGAGCACCATCGTCTGAGGCGAGGAAAAACTTGTCCTTGCCCTCTTTCTTCGTCACGAGACGACCAGTGCGCCTGCCAGAGCATTAACGAACTCCGAAAGTTTGTAACTTCTTGCATGCCCCGGCGCCCCGACCCAGGATCCGCCTCGTGCAGAACTGATCCCCCTGACGTGCGTCCAGGAACTTCCCATTGGTCTGAGCACAACAGCCAGTGTGCCGTCTTTAAGCGCCAACTGGACAAGCACTGCCTCAACAAGGGAAAAGCCCCCATCCCACACAGAGGTCCCAGAACTGAACCCAGATCATTTTTTGTAATCCCGGTCCATGAAGAACTCGTGCACGATGACACGACGGGCTGGGATCCTTTCCATGAAAATCTCCGTGATTGAAACCAACTGAAAGGATCATGCAGGGGCTACGCAGCCAGGGGTGTATCTACCACTGACTACCACTTGCACGCGCCATGTACGCATTCTGCTGCCAAGCGTCAGGGCATCAAGGTCCGATACTTGGCACTGCGATTGATCGTAGAAGTCGTCGCGCTCCAAGCTGTCCACAAGGTTCAGCTTCGGCTGGCCCAAGTCATCCTCCTCCAGCTTCCACTGCCTGGGCGATGGACTACCTTTGGCACGCTCAACAACGAAGCGTCTCGTGTGCTTGAGTGGTTGATTCAGTGCGCAAGACGCGAACCGTTGCCAAGACCAAGACACCCAGACACCGAAGTGTCGGAATTGACGACCTTTGCGTCAACTCCGACAAGCAGGGATAGGGGACTAGTTGCATCTTCGGTATTGGATGTAGATGTATAACAACGGCTTTCCGATAGAGCCACGTTGTCAAACCGAAGCTATTTCCCAGAAGCCCGATCTTGAAAGGGGTTCGCTTGAGGACGGGGAGGGAGAGGAGGAGAGAGAGAGAGAGAGAGAGACTGAGAGAGAGAGAGAGAGAGAGAGAGCGGAGAGCGAGCCCCAGCAAAGGGTGAATCACGAACAACAGCCCTTTGCGATGGCCTGGCCGAAGTACCAGGTGGCCCACCAGTGGTCTCCCTGCCATGAACATGGAACGCGATCACGCAAACCCTGGGACCCTAAACGCCAAACGTATCTAAGCTTCCACCCCGAAGCAGGCCAGCGTTTCTTGCCAGTCGGCGGCCACCCAGTCAGCCATGACTATCTAAAAACGAACTGAAAACTTGAGGAAGTTCGACACAGACTCAGAATTGAGGGATCTTCGGCAATCTTCGGCATGGTGTCTCTGCATGTCTCTGCGTCTAGCTTCAATGTTCAGGCTAAATAGGTGTCGGATAGACCAGGGCCAAAAGCCAGACAGTGTTCAGCACGAGCTTTGCAGCAGTCGCAAAGGTCTTCGTGAAGCTTCAGAAATGGGACAGACTGGGACAACCTGATGTTGTTGCAGCCAGCAATAGTTAAGTGAAAACGACAGCAATGCGAAGCTGTGACCACATTAAGATTCCAGCTGCATCGGTGAAAGCCTGCGCTCTGCACGCAACAGGGCTTCAGTAAATTGAGGTGAGTGGGCTTCGAGGGTCGAGTGAATTGAAGCGGTGGGGATTCAGGAGGCTTTTTATTTAGGGTTTGAGATTAGCTTCGCAGCCAGAGAAGACCCGAGGACTGAAATCCACCGAAAACAAGCGCGACGGTCGGTATCCGCTATCCTTATGCAATCTGGCCTTCGGTGGCCATATTGACACATTTAGATCATATGGGCTCTAAATCCTCGTCAGCAATGAACGGGTCAAGCATCCGCCACTCACGAACCAAAATCACCAAGTAGCAGGACATCAACCTGTCTTTCCGTGATCTTCCATCTTGCTTTCACCCTGTCAAGTGCAGCTGGCGCTACCTGCTCAATCACACCTGCAGCCACCCTAGCAAACACAAGGATATCTAACATGCAATGAGAGGAGACATTGCTGTTTTGTCTCGCGTGCGTTGATACTCGGATCCGAGTACGTCTCTACTGGAGCAGGCCGTGATCAGCTTCGGGCTCCACGCTCGCAGCTTGCCAAAGCACCAAGATCCACCTCTGTCCGAAGCAGAGCGGGTTGAATCGTCCTGTCCTGGAGGGCCAAGGCGCGCTTCTTCGCCTCCAAAGCCTCCAGCAGGGCCTGCAAAGAGACACTCGCAGATCATGCCGCCTTCGGTTAGGTAGCCATAGCCTGCTTCTCTCTGCTTTCTTTTTCCTGGCATGGCACTCTCGGTGTGACCAGCAGACGGCGTCATCTGGCTGCAGAGCCTTCTCGTCCTGGCAGAACTGCATGTAGGAAGACCACCTCAGATATCGGAAGTCGCATCATGTCGCATCGCCTTACCGTGCTGTTGTCCGCCCTACACACAACATCCTGTGACATCTTGCTGCGACGGAGAGGCATCTCTGCGTTGACACCGCTTAAGGCTTGGTTAGCCTGGGCCTTTGCAGGAGAGTTGAACCCTTTGAAGCGGTTCGCACTGTGGTCTTGTTTCGGCCTGTATCACGTCCTGCTCTGCTCTCGCGTTCATGTCACTCTCCAGAGCCTGAGACATGCTTCGCGGCCGGACTGGTGATACGTGTCCGTGGTGTCATGTTGCCTGCTCCTGCGTCTGAGGCTTGGCAAAGCTAATGGCCACCTTGCGCACAAACAAATGCGGCGGGCCATGCAGCGAAGGCTGCCACCTTGCGCGAGTCAATCATGGACCCAGCAGCCAGCATCCGGTTCTTCGCCGTCATGGCCTCGAACTGCGGCGGTGTGACTCTGAGGATCTGAACGACACCCGGCTTCTTGCTGGGTTCGGAGCATCGCTGACACTGTAGAAATTCACGAAGCAGAAGCCCTGACCCGGCTTCCGGATAGCCCCCGATCCCGAGCAGTGAATCAAAGAAGTCGCCTTAGACTTTCTGGTGGATCTGTCCAACATCATGCGGACCTCAGATTACGTCTCACTCCCATCACCCCAAACCTGTTGTTTCTGGCTCACTGTTTCTCAAAGGCCTCAATCGGAGATTGAGACCGGCACACCCTTTACTACGGGCACATGAGACTGGAAGGCCTCCATGATGTGTCCAGCCAGCTCATGACTTCACGCGCACGGTCCGAAACGCTTCATGGCTCCCGCTGGCCTTCTTGATTCGGGCTTCCTCCAGCTCTCCTATTAACCGTACCATGAGGGTATCGGAAGGAATTTCCTTGACACCTGCAAGCGATGATGTCCGATGTGTGGGCTGCGCGAAGGAGCTGGGCTTCGCCTTCCGTGAGGGCGGCCTCCTGTTCGGCCTCACTGGGAGCCTCGGTGGAAAGCAACAGCACTGGACACGGTAGGAGCTCTCAGACTCTGAGATTGGAGCAGCACCAGAATGCTGCAACCTGTAGACCCACTGCCGTACCTGTCAGAAATTGCAATCTCACAACTGCAGCACGCCCATTTGGTCGCAAATTCAACCGACCTTGAGCTGGCCGTTGGAGACTCGCAAGAATTCTCGACCTGGGATCGGGACTATCACGGACTCCCATGCCGGATAGCTGAGACCCGGGACCCGGGCAAGCCTCCTGGTACGGGAAATCTATGAAAACAAGGGACTGAGACACGAATCTCACCTGAAGCATTCGACTTTAGAGCCGGAAGAGCTGTCCAAGTCCGGCGATGCTCATGCCCGCTCAAGATCTGAGCTCAAGGCCTCTTCTGGCGTGCTGAAAGAATGCTGGATGCAGAGTTGTCGAGCCTGCTCCTACAGCAGCACTATAAGGGAATAGCGGTTTCACCCGCGGCACACCCTGTCGCATCTAAACTCCAAGGAAGGGCCAGTCCTCGATATTTTTTCAATGCCTGTCACTCTCACACTTCCAAGATTCACGTCTCCTCAGTCGAGGCCGTCTAGCCCTGCCTACAGGAAGACTTCCTGCTCCTAACAACATCACGGTGTTGGGTGTAGCCTGCATCTGGTAACGTCTAGCACTTCTTCCAAGCACAAGCAGAGCAAAGGACGAGTGCAGATCCCAATGATTTTAACCTCGAACCTCAGCGTAGACACCGCTTTAAGCGGTTATCCCGGAAATCAGAGGAGACAAAGACTTGCATGTAGCACAGGCAATAGTTCACGTCTGTTGTCTGTTGCATTGCCGCATCTCCTCTGGAACAAGAAGCTGGTACCTGCTCACACTTCAAAACTCCGAATAAACATGAAATCACAACGATCAAGGTCGTGTGGTGGAAGTTGGAGTTGCACCATTTCGAAGAGTTCAGGATGTCGTAGCCGTGTTGGTCCCTTTCCTTGTAGAGGCTCCCCATCAAACGGGCTTTGGTGCAACACACGTGGCAATATGTGGCATGTTCCTGGCTGTCCGAGCCTGCGTGCCCCCGTCAGTGTACCGATACCCTATCAGCGGCACCGGAAGAGTCTACATCCTACATGCCTGCTGAAACTCACTGTTGGCCGAGATGCTACAACTTGAATTGCCGCTACGTGTAGGTTTGCACATGGGCCTCCGCTTCAGCACATCAAGAAATCACAGGTTGCTGTGTCTGATGGCTGCGGTTACCGCTTGGCGGTTAGCCGCAGCTAGAGCGTACGAAGAAAACTTTTGGCCAGAACATAGCCATGCCTGAAAGAGGATTCTTGCATGGATCTCTTTGAGCGGGCGAACGATTACCCTTTGCATGGCTCTGGCTCAGCCCTCAAAGCAGTCTCCGGAGAAGAGGATCACATTCCGCCAGCGCCCTGGGCGAAGGCGGCTATAGAATCGATAGAAAGCAGGAAGTTACAGGTGATCCTTTCTGGATGTCTTTCGTGCCTCCGCGCCCAAAGTCATTGAATGAGGGGAGACGTAGAGGCTGGTCCTCGCAGGCTGCGAGTAGAACAGGCAGACCGACGCGAGCGCAGAGCGTGAGGTTGCGTTAGGCCTCCTTGAATGACTTTCGGCCATGCCTTCGTACCTGTGGTTGCGGTCTGCTCCGAATTTCGCGGCTGACGAATGCCAAACATGCCGTGAGTACCGAAGAGCGTCTGCATCCAAATGAAGGAGCGGAAGAAGGGGTACGCATAACGAGAGGCCTCGGCAAGTACGGGTGGACCGATGCAAGCACAAGTCATTTACTCATGTACCTCTTGCTGCACAACAATATTGTTCGACAGTGTATGCTTCATTCCGTTCCTGTCCGTGTCTCATGCCGAAGCGGTGATAAGCGGTGCTGCCCAGTTTTCGCTCGTGCGCTCCATCGTATCGCTTGGCTTTGCCTGCCAGTAGCTTGAACCTGCGAACGGACGTCGATGCCTAGTCCAATCGTAGGTATCGCGACTTGAGCTGTGTTACCACATGTCTTGAATGGCAATGTAAAACCGGACAAGAGATCGTTTAACGTCTCTTGACCCTAAGCTTTCCACGGCACACCTTGGGCCCGTTTAACGGACCAAGCGTGGTGACCGAAAGTGAATGCTACCGCATGCAACGCAACTTTGGCTCAAGCTAGCAGGTGATCCTTTCAAGAAGTAGCTGAGCTATCCCGAGCACAGACCGATCGACCTTCGACCGTCGAGACGACAAAAGAGGGATTCGAGCGTGCCTGCAAGGTGACTTTCTGGCGAGCATACGCATAACAGCTGAAGCTTGTTGGGCAACCACATCATTATCTACAAGCTCGGGTGAGGAGAGCGAATATTGGATATCATCGATACCAAACCCTCATGCAGGTTATCAGCCGTAGGCTCTGGCTCTGCCTGCAAAAGCAAGGCTGTTCTTGCTCTACCGCTACTTCAATGGCATCTGGATCGAGCAACGACACGTCGTGGACTTTCGGCCGTGCAGCAGCGGCAGCGGCAGCTGGAGAATCCACTGCCGACGATACAGTGGAGCAGTCCGTTGACAGCTCTACTGAAGAGGAGAAAGCAAAGACATCTTCTCCCGCTGCGCCGAAGACAGCTCCCAAAGCAAGGAATATGTCAAGGGCATCAACACCCTCTCGTCCGGCTACAGCAGGATCGAGAGCAATCAAGACATTGATCGTGGACCAAGGGCACCGACGTGCCTGTGATGCAAGCGCTGCGTTTGGCAGCCAGGGGAAGGACAAGGGTTCCAGAACACCAGAAAGAGTTTTAAAGCCAAGCTTTTCGAGAAGTTCCTCAGCAAGGAGATCCAAGGGCACTGCCAAGGTGATGGACAAAGTACAATCGCCACCTGGAAGACGAGGCAATCCTTCCGAGATGGACGGACGACCAAGGTTGCGAACGACTACCAACACTGGAGACACTGCAATGGACCATACCCCAGCAATTGAGGATGCTTCAACCATCGGATTCCCTTCACCTGCTGAAGAAGAACGAAGAGGACGATCTGAAATCCAAGTCGACACAGCGCATTTTGCGCAGCAGATGTTCTTTCGGAGCGAAGTCCAGAAGTTCGAAGCGGTTATCAACCACTTGATGGCGGAAATTCGAGAAATGAAGCAAGAAGACGAAGGTTCAGAGATGCGAATTCAGGAATTAGAACGACAGCGTGATACTGCTTGCCAAGCCATGCAGCACATGAACAACAAGCATCAGGAGATGAGAGTCGGTTTCGAGACTTCCATGGAACGGATGGCTGAAGAAGCACATGCTCAACTGCGCCATGATCGACACGTTGCTGGAGAAATGGTCAGTTGTCTACATCGTGAGAGGATTGACTTGGCGCGAAACCTCATCAACACAGAGGAGAGTGCACAGGGCGATGGAATCAACGTGGCCAGAGAGTACGAGCGACTTACATCCGAGCTTCATGAAAAGGCAAGAGAGAATCTGCAACTCCGATCGGGGATCGATAGCCACAAGCACGCTCTCAACGCTATGGAGGAGCACCTTCAACTGGTCAAGAACGAGGAAGCAATCGTTGCAAGAGACATGGCCGATGGTCAGAACAGCATCGTTCGTGAGCAACTTGTACTTCGGCAACGACTTGGCGAAGAAGAGGAACATCGCATGATGGCTGTTCGGAGAATGCAAGATGCTGAACATCAACTTCAACACGCAGAGGACAATGCGAGACATTCTTTGCCGACTTTACATGATGAGTTGAATGAACTGAGAAGGAACCTTAGGCTGCAAGAGGACATGAACGCAAGATCGCGGAGTGAACTCGAAGCTTATCGACAAGTACCTTTCCTCGGATCTCAACAGTAAAGCATACCCATTTCGTCGAGAACTACTGAGTCGGGCTGGGAGTGCGTAGGTAAGGAACGGGTCAGTGCTTAAGGAACAGAGGTGCGAGCCCCTGAAGGCATTACTCCTAATTTCCAAAGCCCAATGAATCGTGACAAGTTCGGTGTGGTGGAAGTCACACACGAGCCCACCCCGTTGATTGTCGAGGAGACGCCACCCGCGCGGTTACCGCAGGGTGTGCAGGGACCTCTGTCCGAGCGGTTACCGCAGGACATGAGTTTCTCTGGGATGAGATCGGGATCCACGCAACAGCAAGACGCGCGTGCCGTACGTGATCGACAACTCAATGAGTTACTCCAGACACTGAGGATGACAGGGCAACCTTCAACATCATCCTCCAGTGCTTCACGGAACGTCGCTAATGACGGTGACGTGGCGTCAGACATCGCAGTTGCAAAGCTCGTGGTGGCGGAAACTAACGTCCCTACCTTTCACGATGGCGCCCTCGATGCCAGACTTACAATGATGGAAGAGGGACATCGGCCACAAATCGAGGAAATGCGTATGGTAATGGAGACAGCTCAGAAGGCTGAGCAACGACTTCGTACAGACCGAGACGAATGGCGACTTATGGCAGAGAACCTCCAGAATAGGGATGATGATCCTGATGATGAGGAAGAAAAGGCGGAAACGATGGAGATCCTGATGATCACCCGGATCCCGACAAGCACGGCGGAGATCCCTCTCCCGAACCTGAAGGTGGTGGCGACGATGGCGACCCACCTCGCAAACCTGGCAAGGGCCCAGATCCACACCCACCTGATGGAGATGATCCTGACGGAGGAGAAGATCCGGAGGTCACCGAGGTGAAAATCTCTCGTCGTGAAGCAGACAAAGTCGTGGTTCCTTCCTTCCCAACAGTGACGCATCTTGACAACTGGATGGCACAATGCATTGCGAATGTCCTGGGTGCCTGCGCGGACCCAAATCAGGAAGAATGGATGAAGTGGCTGAGCCCAGCATTCCGACCTTTTCCTGACGTTGAGGCGTTGAATGACTTTGGACACAAGGAGTACAAGAGCATCGACGCCAAATTGGGCGTCGCGATGACATCAATGCTGCGTGCAGGAGCTGATAAATCAGCTGAACTTTACCTGGAAGTGAACAGGAACGCGAACGAGTACGTCAGATCTTTTGATGGGAAGATCATCAAAGGGAGGCAGATCATCGCGATGATGTACGAAAGTTTCAGGACTCGTGACAGGCTCGATATGATTGTGTCACTCGAATATCTCATCAAGGTCCAATATCAGGGTGACAACAAGCTGTACCAGTTCAAGCAGACATGGTTGGAAATCCTCAATCGCATCCGACCGGAAGACA